TTAGAGGCCAGGAGCTTCCTAAAACACCCTTGTCCACTCCATCCACGTCTCCTTCGATAATAGCAGAACAAGCCTGTAATTCTCCAACATCCTGCTTTAGTGAGTGATTCAATTCCAGTTTCCCCTTAGAAGGGCAGTTCTTCCTTGGATAGTTCAGTAGGACGATGGACAGTGTTGTACCCAATGAAAGAATAGGAAATGTTTTCAGAATCCTAGGTTTATTAAATCCCATTTTCAGTTTGAAACCCGACCTGCAAGAAACTACTGCCACTGTATCAGTAAAGTATATGAAGCAGCCTCTCAGGTTCATTTGAGAGATGTAACTACCAAAAGGCAGGTGTATACAGTAGTCAAGGTAGGGACCGCTCACACATGGAGAAAACCCTGGTTACCAAGGATTCATTTCTATGGGGATAATGAAAGGTAATTTCCTGGGCTATAGAAGCAAAAACAAAATGAGGTCAATTTCTGTATAGACAGTTATGGCTACAAAAACTATTTAACATTTTTACAAGTATTTAAGGAAAGAAAATTACGATGTATGTGCAAACAGCAGAGCATGTTTTCATATGACGTGGGGTCATTTGTCACAAAAAATCCGCAATTTTTACAGGCTTACGACAGAACATTGCAACAACAAAAAAATGTGCACTTTGGCTATGATTACAAAGTAAAATTAGTATTTAATAAAATACATGCATATGTGTTTCTGTGATAAGTCTTGGCAATAGCTCGCACTCTGGCACACTGTAATTACTTCAGCACTCAAATTTGCTACTCCATAGGTCTTTAACCCTGCTCCTGGGGACCCACTGTCCTGCAAGGTTTATTTCCAACCCGCTTCAGAACACCTGGCCTGTGACTTTTCAAGTGATCCTGAAGACCTTGATTAGCTGTTTACGGCATTTGATTAGGGTTGGAGCTGAACTCTGCAGGACTGTGGGTCCCCAGGAGCATGGTTGAAGACCTATGTACCATTTAGTGCACTGAAATTCACTACATAAATGTATAGTGAATGAGGTAGCTATTTATTTTCAGATTTTGGGCACGGTACCTGCAGCACTCTGAATGAAATGTAACACGCGGCTGCTATTGTTTAATGTTGCGTTCAAGTCCTTCTGGGAAGTTCGTACTTACGAGTTGACAAGTCGTAATTACAACGTCAGGTGCGTTCAAGTCACTTGGTTGGAAAAAGATGGCGATTTAACTTTTCTACAATTCAATGATTTTTTTAAAAACTCTACATCTACAAAATGATGAATAAATTGCATCGCGTTTTTGCTTTTTTCTGTTTTTATTCAATTTATGAAGGTGATGTAAACTGAATCATTATATATTCTATGGTAATTATACAATAATATAATATTTAGTTACTTATGTAGCTTTATTGTACATTACAAAAAAAATTATAATTTTATTCATTTCAACAAATTGACCACCAATACAGAGCTGCATATCTATAGTCTTCAACTTATGTAGTTTTATTGTACATTACAAAAAAATAATAATTTTATTCATTTCAACAAATTGACCACCAATACAGAGCTGCATATCTATAGTCTTCACTGACACGCCCCCAACTCGGAAACTCTGGGCTTAAAGAAAATTTCGAGGTCCCCACTCATAATAACGACTTTGTGGTTGCGTTCATGTGCTTTCAACTAGTAAATACGATCTGTCCGACATGACTTGAACGCACCATAAGGCTGTATACTCGATTGGTCACGTGACCCACGAAAACTAAAAGCACAATTTTTTTCAAAGGTAACGTTACTCAACCGCAAAGATATTTGAAGGCAACGGTAGACGGCACTACTTTCAGTGAATAACGACTTAACTTTTAGGCTGTTCCTCTCACAAAGTTATCATATGGCTTCAGAAGACTTCGAATACTGCCCAGAAGGCGAGAACTAAAAGCGCCATTTTTTCAAAGGTAACGTTACTCAACCGCAAAGATATTTGAAGGCAACGGTAGACGGCACTACTTTCAGTGAATAACGACTTAACTTTTAGGCTGTTCCTCTCACAAAGTTATCATATGGCTTCAGAAGACTTCGAATACTGCCCAGAAGTTTGTATTGACAGCTTGGCGTTTCAAATTGGGATCCATTTGTATTGTCTGAAAAAGCTCCATTTGTGTTTCACTGAAGAAAGAAAGAAAAAAGGATTAATGAAAGAAAGCGATACAGGTGAGTAAATAACATTATGTCATTATTTTATTCCTACAGTCTGTTCTAAGACTCACCACTTAGGTTTGGCTCATGGGCGTCGCTAAGCCATTTTTAGGGGGGCTTTAGCGCGTTCCAGTGTTGCCAAGTCAGTGGTTTTCCCGCGGAATTGGGCTACTTTAACACTGTTGCCGCGGGTTGTTTTTCATGTCCGCGGTTGAAGCGACCTGTACCAGGGAAACCCCGCCCAAAAAAAAACGTGTATTTTACCCCCCGGAATAATAGATAATATAGATCAGTGGATTGGGCTAGTTTTGTTTCGAAAACCTGGCAACCCTGCCGAGTTTACAATCCGCAGAGCCAGAAACAGAGGATAAGGTGTGCGTTTATTGATAGATTGTAACAACATCTGCATCTGTGCAGTTCTTTTAACTTTAAAGTTTTCGCTACATTCACCCCTTGTCACACCACAGGCTTTTCCTCCAGCGAAAATGTAGCCCTTAACACATATGAATGCATACTTTATAAAACGATCATGTTGCTGTTTTCATTTGAAAATTTAACTTTAAATTGAAAACATATTACAGTGCATGTGGCATTACCATACAGTTGTGCACAGAAATGATTAAAGACAGTGACAGACTGATGCACTCATTTTAACTACATATCAGAGTAATTGACAGATAGACATCGTGTGTGTGTGTTTTAAATTAAATAATAACCCAGATCGTGAAATAGCCTTGGAGTGAGGGATTTTTTTTGTCACTTTGAATTAGAGAAGTGGCAAAGTTGTTATTTTTTAATAAATAGAAAAAAAAAAGGAATGATATAATATAAAACAGATGGAACATATTGCCAATCTAGACAATTACATTAAAACAAGGGTTGTCTATATATTCTTAAGGGATTTGAATGAATAGCCAAATAGCTATATGGAATCAAATAAAAAATCAATTGAATTAATGTAGGACCTACTGTATTGTCTATGAAGCTAAAAAGCTCAAATAAACTAGACAACAAGATGATCAAAATTGTTATATTTATATTTCTTTGTAGATGGATATACAACATTTTTTTCATGTCACATGGGAGTAGGTCTGCAAATGAGCAGCAGTCAGGTGAGAACAGAACATGGACAGCCTCTCACACAGTACCACCGTGTTCCCAACATCGATTGCAGTCATTGCGCCCTTAAGTATATTTCACTTTTTTTTATTTTCAAAGGATAAACAGATAAAATGTTCTGACGTTATTGACACTCAGCAAGAAATGATTGTCTTTCACAGTCAAGTGAACTAGAATTATTTTTTGGTTTCTCAGAAAAGTCTGCAAAAAGAGAGTGAAGTCAAGGCAGAGCACACTGAAAGAAGGCACAGTAGAGAAAAGGCAAGATCATGATCCAGGTGAGAAAGTGAATAGAGTTGGTTTGGATAAAGTGTCTAGTAAGTTAAAAAATCCAAATGATGTTAAGATTTCTAAGTTACCTTTTACATGATTGTCACAGTACAGGGACAGAGAAAGCATGAAGCAGAAGAAGACACGAGTCAGGAGAGAGAAGGATAGATATGCAGAGAAGTAAGTTTAAAGTTATGTTGTTTTCTGGTTACATTTTTCTGTTTGTACTTGAGCATAGAGGTTTGTGCTAAATGCAAACAGTAACATTTTGTATGTACAGTGAACAGGTGTGTGTGACTGAGTGTGTGTGAGTGAGCGAGATCAGGAAGACTTGTATTTGGCTTATTCAGAACTCAAATGTTATACCCATTTATGTAATACAATGGAATACTGGAATAAGTTTTAATATACCACCCTATGTAAATCAAAAATTTTATTTTATTTTATTTATTTAGTTTTTATTATTATACCCTCATTGGGGGCTGAGCACCCCTAAAATGAAAATCCTAGAATCGCCCCTGGTTTGGTTAATATCATTGCTGTTAAAAGAAGTTACAGACGCTTCGAGTCCACATGAAGTTTGGTCAAAATTATATTCAACGTGAAGCCATTCTGTAGTAGAGTTTGTTCTACATGCCACTATTTCTCATACTGTACTAGAGTCAGAGTTTATTTAAATGATTCTTCAGTAGAGGGCACCAAGATATCAGCTTGTCAAACAGGCTTACTTAAGCACACTGAGCTTAGAATATCCATTCATCTCAATTGTGTTTGCTTGGCTAGCACAGATAAACAACTGTTTTTGATACTATCACTTGGGCTGTATTATCTGATCAATCACGTGATGACGATACTAACAGGCTGATGGAGCCAAAAAATGGGCACTTTACCTTATCTAGCAAAGAGCCTTGGCATGAAAGGCACCAGACTGGTTCATTTCATACTTTTAAGATCTATCAAAACAAAATTGGGCACTGCTAAAAACATCTACTATAATATATTAAATATAAACATTCATAATATAATAAACGTTTATTGATTCATATGTTGTTTGTAAAAGAAACCATTCAGAATACACAGTTACTTGAATGGCTGTCAGTAGAAAAAGTGAAAGAGTAGAGTGTGGTTAAGGTATCTACAAGAAGGTGCTTTTTGGGTCACAGTAAATTAACATTTGACCTCTTTATTTTATTGCATTTTTACCTAGACAATCTATACACCTGCTAACAAGTGGAATTCCAGTATCATAGTTACACACAGTTTTGGTTCAGTGTTCATTATCTTTGTGCACAGTGGCGTACTGTTCAACTGTTCACTGTTCTGTGGTTTTAACAGGAAGAGATTTTATCAAATGGCTTGCATGATTTCTATGTTAGATATCCACAGAATATTTTTGTACTGCTATTTGTGTCCTTTTTTGAAGATTTCTTATTCTATACCCCTCTGCATACATTCACTTTCATGTTCATTTTAATGGCTGTATTATCTGATCAATCACGTGATGACGATACTAATAGGCTGATGGAGCCAAAAAATGGACACTTTACCTTATCTAGCAAAGAGCCTTGGCATGAAAGGCACCAGACTGGTTCATTTCATACTTTTAAGATCTTTCAAAACAAAATTTGGCACTGCTAAAAACATCTACTATAATATATTAAATATAAACATTCATAATATAATAAACGTTTATTGATTCATATGTTGTTTGTAAAAGAAACCATTCAGAATACACAGTTACTTGAATGGCTGTCAGTAGAAAAAGTGAAAGAGTAGAGTGTGGTTAAGGTATCTACAAGAAGGTGCTTTTTGGGTCACAGTAAATTAACATTTGACCGAATGTAAAATTCAAGTGTTAAAAAATTGGTATATGGAAAATATTATGATTGTTAAAGGATATTACCTTATTAGTCTATTTGTCATTGTTTTTTTAGTGATATTTAAGGAAATCAATACTTTATGTGTTTGTCTTATT